CGTTAGCTTGGCTTCACAGTCACAGCACACAGAGCCTGCTCACTCTTCCGTGCCACGGCCACTTCCTGCTGCCTCTAAACAATGCCGACTCCATTTGAGTCTCTGTAATGGCTCACTGCTTGACATAACCCTTGTCAGTGAGAGCTGTGATAGGTGACAGTTGACAGATGTTTAATTGCTGGAAGAGCTCACTGACAGGTGGATAGGCTTAAAGACACCTGATATGCTTTTGAGACTGTTGACGCAGAGGATTACACCTCTGAGGAGCACCGGCTCCCTCGAGCATTTGTGGGTTGTTTCTTTGGTTTGTTTGTTTTTATTTAAAAAAAAAAAACAACTAGTCTTACTATGCATAGAGTAATTTATTCCAAATGAAATTGGTTGACCAAGTTATAAGCCGGCCGATCCTGACGAGAAAGGTTAAGTCCGCTGCAATACACCTCATTTTAATGCATAAAGATGTGTATTCCACATCAGGTGGTGCATGGTGGAGCAATCATCGGAACAAGCTTGTAAAGTCTGCACTGAGCAATGATAGGTTTCCCTCCCAGGTCAGCCCGGGTTAGCTGGTACCTACAGCTGGAGATAACACTACGCCCCTATGAAGGACAGGAAGTGAGATAAACATTCACTCGTTGATTAGGAGCCAGGAGTATGGGCTGCCATGTGGGAGGTGGTGCAGTCATGGGGGTGAAGGTGTAGGATGTGCATGGGGGAGAGAGAGAGAGAGAGAGGCAGAGAGAGGGAGAGAGAGAGAGAGAGAGACCAAGGTTGTGCGGTATGTGCTGGAGTTTGTAATGCAAATCAATGATCTTCAGTGCAGAGCAGAAACAGCACAATGGCTGCACACCTGTCCATCACTCAACATCTCCTGTTCCACCTCTTGAAGATGAGGGGAGCGGGGGGCGGATGGGGGGGGGTGAAAAAAAATTGCTTGAGCTCACAGTCGAGGAGTTGAAAGCAGGCGGCGGTGGAGGGTGAGGTGTGCTCAGAGGCCTAGACATTCACTTTTCTTTTTCGAGACCATGTTATTAGAAGTGCAGTTAGTAAATTGTGAAGAGGGGGAGACGGATGTTTTTGCCTGTGACCTCAATTGCACCGGGCCACTATCTGAACCAAAGTGTAATTTCTCTGTGAAAGACAGTGGGGAGAGAGAAAAAGAGAAAATGACAATATCTGTTGTACCGTGGTGCATATCCAGCCTATAGAGATTTACTGATGATATATAAGGGAGGTGGCAGCTCCAGCTACAGCCCAGAAGCTCAGCTCTGGTTCACTCTGGGTATTTTCACTTATAATTGGGGTAGCTTTCATCTTGCCTGCCAAAAGGCGCGGCAGCGGAGAGAATCTCCAAGAGGGAGCGATCACTTCCCCTATTTCCTGGCCCCAGACAAAGGCACCCAGGCAGGCAGCATGCTGAAGATGATGTATTTCTGATCAAAGAGCCTGCAGTTGTCAGCAGCGCGGGCTAGCACAGCAACCTGATTGCTCCTGGATAGATTTGTCCCTTTGATCAGAGCAGCCTCTGACTGGAGGCGCTGTTTATGCAAAGGGAAAGATGGCTGAGCCAAAATCTTCGCAGCGTTACGGGGGGAACCAGCGTTGAGCTGGGGGAAGGAGTTTGGCTTCAGGAGCGGTTGGCTCACAGCGTCCTGCTTCAGGATGATCTCTGTTATAATTACCACTAAAGAGATAACACTGCAATGATCTGTTTAGGCAACTTGTTGCTACAGTTGAATGCCTTCGTGCTGACGACCAAATAACTCCATCTTGAATTATTACTTTTCGTGTAAAGTTAGATTTAAACCACAAGCACTCGAGATAAAACAGTGATTTTTTTTTATTATTTTTTACAAAATACTGCGTTAGCTACGCAAACATTTAACGCACAACGTAAACTAGCAACGCAAACATTTAACGCACAACGTAAACAACTGCCGGCAGTGAATATATGTGGACATGGAAGAGGTATAATTTTGTCATAATATATTGATGTAAATTCTTGTTTCCACGTTGCTCTTACACCAAGGCCGCGGAGAAATATTAATGTCATCATTCTGAAGCCATTGTTCCTACAAGTCCCGTGGTGACACCGGCCATGTTTTGACGGAGAGGAACAGGTTCTTAGATGGGGCTACATGGCTTCAGACACTCGCACGTCACCGACAGTTGACTTTAAAACAGAGGTGAGAGCTTTACATGCTGCGGTTTAGGATTCGATAGAGTTAACAGGACAAGACAGGAGGACTACAGAGTAGAGAATAAAGGAAAAAAAACAATACACTCAGTCATTCTATACCTTGTAACATATGTTTTCACACCCCCCCCCCCCCATATGTTCATATGTGAGTGGACGGGACACTTCCTGTAACAGTGTTTAAATAAAGCCAGTAGGTGGCAGAAATCAAACATACTTTTTCTTAC